TTTTCAAAACGCGTCCAGTTTCCATCGCGCGAACAACGTAGGCGTATATTTGTTAAATGGTGAAAAAGAGACGTTCCACTTTTGCCTCGTCTTTTTTTCCACTATCGAAACACGATGTATCGGGGGAACGGGGTTACCACGATCGTTGTTTCTTCCCTATCGTAGGTGTGGAAGATGGAACGCGAACAGATGAGCGCAGAGAAGGAATCGGGAAGAGAGGAGATCGGTATACGCGTGCAAGGTGAGGACAACGTGGCGTGGATGAGCAATGAACTTGACCGGAAGTAGGTCAGGGTAAACAAACCTTCCTCGTGCTCAATGAGCATCTTTGCAGCACCGTGATCTTTCGAGTATGACCAATCTAACGAGTAAACTCGTAATGATTAATTTATTAATTTATCAAGCAACAAATTACACAAATTTATCTTTAATATTTTTTTTATTATTCAAATATACATTTTTTTTTTTTTTTTTTTTTTTTTTTTTTTTGAGAATAATAAATACTTACCTCTTCTTGTATTCGAGCGATTACAAAAATTGATCCACTTTCAAACGTATAAGACACCTTTCACGTATTTATTTACTATCTTTCGCCGGCCAGCTCAAAAATTACAGCGACACGACAACTTCTTGCACGCAATCATCCGACATGTAATGGAAAGTACACAATAATTTATCTACGCGATATCCTTCGATCATTTCGTGTTATTATCACATATACATCGTTAATAAATCATTTAAAACACTCTCAGAGGAAGTTTTTCTTCCAAAGATTAGACAGACAGTTTATTAAAGTGCTGTTAATCGTTATCGAAGAAATGAAAATTGCCTGATGATCAGGCTTATAGTATATACGTTCTATCGAATTAAAGAAACGCAACGCAGAAAGAAATTTTCGTGAGAAGCTTGAACGGGCGGAACCCTCGGCTGCCTATAAAGGTCAGTCGTGTAACAATGCTAAACTTTAAACTTCTCCTCTAATGGAATCGATCCACTCTCCGTTACCCGTGTCCCTCCCCTCCTCCCCCCTTCCCCCTCCCGTAACCAGAGTTTACACGAGTAGTTCGGCTAACGAAATTCGTGCGATGCGCGTGAAAAAGTGGATCACGTAACCGTGGAACCTTCGACTTGGAATTTTAATTCGCGTTACGTCACGCGCCCGTTCAACGTGTAATTGAAAACGGGAACAAACGGCAATTAAAAACGGAATATGAGGGAATATGAGATATATGTAACGATAAATTATGAGTTTTAAACGAGATTTTTATCAATATTTTTTTTTTTTTTTTTTTTTTTTTTAACATTTCTACACGTGTCATCTCATCTTTTACGTGGAAACGAAAAAGAAAACAGAATTTCAGTATAAAATTGTTTCGAGCGTTTATTATGGGATCGAGAATCCATTTTTTTTTTTAACGATGTTGATTTTTGAATTGTCGTTTGTTCTTGCGTAGGCGAAGCGATGGGTGAAAAGTGATGTGGAATTTTGTTCGATTAGCATTCCATTACACGCGTGGATCCCTGTTTGCGGAAAGTTCGTGAAGAATTCTGAGCATCCAAGATTTTATGATTTCTATTGTTGGCCGATTCATGGCTTTCATTAAACTTTCGCGCCCAGTAAATTTCAAATGTCGCGTGTCAGGTCGATTTTTACGAATGAACGAACATTCTTTGTTTCTTCTCACGTGTATCGTACGAGTAATATCATTGATTCGATTTGATTAAAAATTAATAAAAATATTGTGTGTGTGTATGTGTGTGTTTTCATTGCATACATATATTATATTAAAATAAATTGCACATATTAATCGATAAATATTTTTCGTGAGAAAGGTCTTGATCCATATAACTTGACATTTCACGATACATACAGAAATAAAGATTATATTTCAGCAATAAATGCCAATTGTACAATTCTTTTACTATTTTTTTACTGTCATTTTTAATTGTAATTAATTTAAATTACATCTCCAATTATGCTTTACATATTTATATATAAAAATTGATTCGAATTGATTATGTCAAGATTTTTAATTTTTAATCAGATGAAAAAGTAATAAAATAAATCACATATTAGAGCCATCTCTTAAGCGCGCATATTTTGCATCGCAAATATAAGACAAGGAGAATAAGTAATGAGAAAAGGATAGAGATAGATAAAAATATTGAAATCAGCGCCATCTTCAGAGTGCCGCAAATGAAACTCACAAAAAAGGATAGAAAATAATAAGAGAAGGATGAAGATAGAATAAGAAATGACCGCTAGCGCCATCTCTCGATGATTAATGATATGTATTTAGAGAACAATCTTTCTAAAACTTCTCAGAGATGGCGCTAATGATCAATTCTTACCGTATATCTGTCCTTCTCTTATTATTTTCTATCCTTTCTTTCCGAGTTTCATTTGCGGCACACTGAAGATGGCGCTGATTTCAATACTTTTACTCTATCTCTATCCTTCTTCTATCATTTGCTCTCCTTATCTATATTTGACTGCATTACATATTTAAATTATAATAAAAAATTTTTAAAATTGTACATAAACATATACATATGTAATAATATAGATTAAATACGAAAAATAGAATTAATAGAATGCAATCAAGGAAAATAGAACATCGAAACATTACTGGAAAGTAAATAATTTAGAAAATTACGATTACGAGGTCAGATGGAAAGGGAAGCAAACCGATTTGTCGCGATGTGTTCTCCGGCTTAAATTGTGAAAACTGGATCGACCAGTTCCGGTTCGCACTCATAACTTTCCATTGGTACGTATGAATAGGTTGAATAGATTCGTAACATTCGAAAACGTATAACAAAAACTGTATTCAAGTTCTGGCGTTTACGAAATATTTCTTCCTGGCGTGAAAGTTTCTTTCGATGCTTGATCCATTGATTGCTAAAAATATAAAATTTGTCGTTTTAAAGATACTCTTAGAAGTTGAATAATCGTGAATTGAATAACTTGATTATATAATGTTACTTAACATGAAAATCTCTATAATTTATTATTTATGCGACTTTTTGCATAGTATTAATATTTTTTTAATATTATAATAATAAGTGAATTACTCAAAAATCAAGCTAATCGACTTTTCTTATGTACTTTACTATTGTATTTTAAATTTATTTATCGTAAAAAAATGAATAAATCACATTTAAATAATCTCCAAGAACGAAGATAATTCGTTCTTAGATAATTAAATGGATGCTTCTTCGATAACATCACGAAGTTTATCTCGACTTTGACTTTCACTGTTCGCACAAGGTCTAGGACATTCGCTAAGGTGAAACAGAATTCTTCTTATATCGATAAAGTACTCTTTGAAAATTTTTCGACATTATATGCATTGCAATTCATATTGATATCCTTTTCCAATAAATAAACGAAAATAAATCGTTTTGGATATTAAAAGCTTGCTTTATTTTTAATTTTATGAATATAATAACGACTCTTATCACCTTTTGTCATAAGTACATTTTGTCGGAACACCGAGAACGCCGACCAAGTTCCAGAATTCGATCTAAACAACAGTCATATACATATATACATATATGTATATATATTTCTTTTTTTTAATATATATTGATAATTATGTTTATATTTTTTCTTATTTTAGTTTCTTTTCCTTTTTTCCTTTTTTTTTTTTTTTTTTTTTTTTATATATATTTATAATTTTGTTTTTTTTTTTTTTTTTTTTAGTTTTTTTTCCTTTTTTCCTTTTTTTTTTTTTTTTATCTTTTAATTCTTTTTGTACGATCGAGATCACCCGATCTGGACTTGGTCCGGACTTTCTTTGCCTCATACATATGATTTCAATTTCGTTCTTCGAGAATCGCATCTAATCGATTGATACGCCGATCGAATCACAATTCCGTTTTCGAATTCTATCTAAATATCTTAAATTTAATGTTGTTCGTTCGTTTCCTATCGTTTAGGAAATAATAACAGACGTTTGTGTGTGTGTGTGTGTGTGTATATGTGTGTTGATCTATATCTTTCATCTGGATCAGTGTTGCACGACTGTTTCTCCACCTCGATGAAAATAATTGCAGTTACGAAAAAAGGTAAAATAAAAAACGTATTAAATTGTACTTCGACCTTCCTTCTCCTCGTACACTTCTAAATATCGATCGGTCTTGAAACGACGACACGATATAATAATATTTATCCAAAGGCAGCGAGTAAAAGGAATTTTTTTTTTTTTAAATAAATATATATCGAGGAACACTCGTCCAGAGAGGATATAATATTCGCGAAAAATATATGTGTGAAAAAATCGAATTCATCCTGGTCTCTCCCTCCATTTTCTTTCTTTCTTTCTACGTGTTTGTTCTCTGTGTCTCCCCTCTCGACCGTCTCTCCTCTCCCCCTTAACGGCTAAAACACTTTAATAAAGATTCATATAACACGAAGAAATTGGAGCATGCAAACTCGAAAGTGCGTGCACGTGAAGATAATATAATGAATATGCGCGTGAATGTACGTGATCGCTCGTGTGTCCTTTGCGTGCCCGCATTCCCGAAAGAAACGAGTCGAAATAGAAATGAGCGAGCGAGCGAGCGAGCGAGCGAGCAATATTTAAACGAGTTCGAAATAGCAATTTTTTTTCCTTTTTTTTTTTTTTTTTTCATTTCAATTGGTGAAAATGGAAAATGGTTTTAAAAGTCGAAGAAACAATTTTTTTTGCTTTTTACACACCTATTGGAAGTACAAAATTGGAAGAGTAGAAAAAGACGACGTTGTAAAATGCGAATAGTGTTTTCGTTCGAAGCGTCGGCTGTTCGTGGTTGTGGTCGACCATTTTAAATTACGTATACAATCGCGTTATATATCTGTTACGACGGATCCCTTGACGATTGTTTCATCACTTCTGTTACCATTTTGTCGACTCTCTCGACAACCGACCCTTCAACACGACTCAATGTAATTGTAAAAGATAAAATTGGATGGATACACCATTTACTTAAATTAAACGTTTATAAATTTTTTGAAAAAAAAAATAAAAAGAAAAACATTCGTGTATAAATTCAATTATTTTTAATATTATTATTAATTTCATTAACGATTCCATGCGTATCCATGCAATTTACACGAAAGGAATGTCACGAAAGGAATGACTAATAGAAAACATACCGTGACATTTATCAATCGTACGATTTAAAATTAACAAAAATCGAAAATCCAATAATCGGAAGGGAAAAATATTCGATCGGCAAATTTTAAATCGCACAAAAATCGCTAAGCATTCCTCTAAACGCAAAAAAAGAAAAAAAAAAAAATTGAATCCACGGTTATCACAAGTTTCTCAAGCTTGCTTAAGAAAGTTCGTTGACTAGATGACAAAAAAGAATCGCCTACCTATTTCTCTTTCTCTCTCTCTCTCTTTCTCTTTCTCTCTTTCGTATTTCACATACACGCCTCTCGCACGCCTCTTAGTGTTCACTGTGCGCAAATATGTATGCGTTCTTGCCTCCTCGTGAATTAGGCCCACAATTGGCGGATGAATAGAGAGCGCGAATATTACATTTGAACCCTTTGAAGCGCGAATAATTTCCTCAATTCTCTTGCGTATGAATTTGATTCGATTATTATTGGATCGATCCAAGCAGAGGTGTGAGATAAATTTGCGACTTTATGATGCATTTTGTAACAATTTTGTAAATTTTAATAAATATTATAATAAATATCATTTTAGAGCAAGATATATATAACGCGTTTCTCTTTTTTTTTTATCATTAGGAATTATCGTTCTTCGATATATAACAAATTAAATTATAAAATATGATAACATACAAATATGACTTTTTCTTTTTATCATAAAAAATTACGTCCAAATTTAAATCTATCTTTAAATCTTTTTTTTTCTTTTAATATCTCTTTTAATACAAAAATACACACATACAGATTAGATCATATCAAAGTAAAAGCACATTGATACAAATTGTTCGAGAGAAAAACAATAATATAATAAGAAGAAAAAAAATGAAATTAAGCATAAAAAAAAAAATACTCGTAACGCTTCAAAGGGTCAAATGTAAGCGAAGATGTAAGTACATGGAGGGATATAATTTTCTTTTTCTCATGCGAATGGAAGAAACAGCGAGAAGAAGAGGGTCGATGGCGGAATGATTCGGGAAATATGATGATGACGGTGCACTGAAATTCCGAGTTAGAAAAGCGAGAAAAAAAAAATGGATATTTCTCCTTCCCCTTTCAGCTTTCTCGTCTCTCGGCTGGCACGAACCGTAAAATCGCGGTTAGGAATAATTGATTGAACGCGTTTTACTTCCCTCCTCGAGCATGTTCGGTGAAAATCAATTGGGAATATCATTACTCAAAAAAACTATTCCTTCAAAAATATTCCTCGATCATTTTTTCACTTTAATCGTGTAATCGTGTAATATTTGAATAAAAATACGAATGAGTTATTTATATACGATCCTTGAATACGTTCCAAACAATCGTTACAATATCTTTCGTCGTTTCGTATAATTCGTGTAATTGCGACGTTGATATCTTTATGCGTTTATTAACGCTTTTGCGACGTTGCAACTATCGTGACTATCCAGAAATGGTAGAACAATGATGTGAATAAATAAATAAAGAAAGAAACTTTTCGAGAGTAAAAACACGATAAAAAAGAAAAGAAAAAGGAACAAAAGGAACGTTCGTGGACGAAGAAAGTTACAAACTCTGGAATGTTATCTAATCGCGAAACCAGGTTATGTGCTATTGTTACGAGGACAACGATATCTATCATTGTTATAAAAATAGTAATAGAACCGGTGTCGAAGAAACATTTATTTTCCTCCCTTTCATTGTGTTTCTTCGGTTTCTTTCGGGCATCTTCACACGCATAAATATATATTTCACGGTTTCTTCATCGGATTACCATATAACTAGATTTCCTGGTACAAATAAATCCTGGTAATTCTATTATAAATTCAATATCTCTTTTCCTTTTTGTCTTACTTCTTAAAATCTTTAAACTTGATATGTTCTCCGATCTAAGCACGAACGATGTTATTGTGGTAAAATTCCGAACTACCTCGTCGTGTAAACTTCAAATCCCATCGAGTTTCAGACACAGAAGATACAATCGCCATTCGTTCGATATATTACGTTCATGCTCGAGGAGATGATGGACTAACGCGTGAAAATGTGCGTTGGAACAAAGAATTCGTTAATATATTAAATACTATATAAAGAGAATAACTTTGAGACACTTGGAAAAACGTCTCAACGATAAAAAGATTAAATAATATGTGATTTCGCGAACGACGAATAGGCTAATAAAATAGAATCGATTTAAACGATTTTAACGCGCGAGAATCGCAATCGAAGAGGTAGCGCAAATTAAAAAAATAAAAATAGACTAACTATACTGATCGAACTATATAATTTAATTTTTTTTTTGTTTTTTTATTAAAATAAACGATATAAACACACGTGAAATATTATATTATAGAATAATTAATGGGCTCTTTTCGTCGTTCGTGAAATGGAAGAAACAGCTCGTCGACCAAAATTTCTCGGCTAGACGAGACCGTCGCGGAATAACATATTTGTCTTTTTTGTTTCTTTTTCTTTTTTTTTTACATTTTTTTTTTTTTTTTTTTTTTTTTTTTTTTTTTTTT